GCCCGAAGGAACGCGAAGCGACCCCAAAAAATGGTGTGCTATCACCATCCATGGACATCCCATCATACAAGCCTGTGCGAATGAAGCGAACCGTGCGAACGCGTGGAAGAAGAGGCTGCCCACCCCCACAATCCGTGTTCGAGCACTGTGCTTGCAAATGGGGAGGGCGGGCCTGCGCCCCCCGGAACTGCGTAGCCGCGTCAACCTACTCCAAATAATGGTGCATCACCATCCACGGACATCCCACCATGCGAACCCGTCCGATAAAGCCTGTGCGAATCATGCGAGCACGTCCGATGGCTTTCTTTTAATGAAGCGAGCCCGTGCGGATGCAGGAGGGTCGAAATCAAGACAGTGGGGGTCAAACCAAAGATGCGGGGGTCAGAAGGAAGTGGTTACGGGGTCAAAATGCAGATGTTCAGGGGTCAACAAAACGATCGGGGGTCAAAAAACGATGTGGGGGTCAAGAAAAAAACATGCCCCAGTATATGCATCGGTGAATCCGTAAATCCGGAGATATGGCCATTGATGAGGCAGTTGAACCATGTAAGTACATACTTACCTGCCTGCCTGCCGACCTGCATACATACATACGTACATACATGCATACATGTGCGAAAGGAAAATTAACGTAGAAATAGCCCTGAACGGGCATTTGCCTTGCACATCTTTGAGTGAGGGTTGGGGTGGTGGGATGTAGGTATTCCACGAAGCTCCGTCGCCAATTTAGCAGGTCTTACACGTTCCCAACAAGCCCTTGAACAGGATCCAGGATAGGAGTCCTAAGACCCTCGCAGTCTTCGAAACCCCCTAATAAAGGCCAAAGGAACCTCTACATTCCCGAGTCAACAAGCCCATAAATGCCCTAAGCCTAAGCCCCATGCCAAAATAGCACAAACCCAGGCCGCAAGACAAGGGCACGTGGAGCTGCTGCGGCTTCTTCTTGAGGCAAGAGCAGATCAGGACTGACAAAGGGTACGGGGTCAGGGTCGGGTTCCGGGTTCAAACTCAGGACTTGTTTAAGTCTCTTGGAAGGGGTCTTCCGACCGAATTGGGGGCTCTTTAAACTGATGCGCGTTCTGCAAGGACGGCCCAGAAGAATGTGGAAGTCTCGAGCACGTTCGAAAGTTAAACATCAGCATGTAGTTGACGTCTGAAAATATGCCGGCTGGCTTTGGATGGTGTCACAGTCTCATGCACGCGATTACACAGTGCAGAAAGAGTCACGTGCTCTTTCGGCCGTCATGTTTCAACATTCGAACGGCTTTAGCCGCTGAAACAGTTGCAGTCAGAAGTTGCCACGTGTTGACACAGTTCCTGTTCACATTTGGGCTTCCGCCCGAACCCGAGCCGAAGACACAGCTGACTCCCTTTGCAGGACACCAAGCACAGTGACGACATGACTCCGTTGGCGATGGCCTTGGAGATGCTCGAATGTGTATGCAGAATTTCCAACTTGTCATCTGCCGGTCTTGGTGATGTCTCCTTCGTTTGTAGTGACGTGCTCTTACAGCTAGCTAGTACATCATCTTAATTGAATCGTCGTAGATTAGTAGAACAGCCACAACAAGTTTTGAGAACAGTAGCTAAACGTTAACAGCGGTATCAGGATCCACCATCGTCAGAAGCATCATTCCATTCCTCGACCTGAATGTGCAGCAACATTTTTGCAGCAAGGGCGACAATGCACGAAAGCACGGGTTCCCCAAGCTAATTATAGTGAACCCGAAGCCGATCCTAACATTAAGGCCCCGACAGCACCGGAGAAGAGAGATTAGCGGACGGCGTTCTTGAAAGCTTCGGCTGCGGCGATAAGACGTATTAGCCTATTGCCTGGCTTTTGCATTGGACATGTGAGCGACAAGCGCCATTGCTTGAATCAACGATTGCTGCACCGGCGAGTTGACCACAATAATTATCGAAGCCATGTTTCCGAACGTGCACAATTGCGCCTTGAGTGTTTGTGCCCTCCAACAAAGTCGCACAGCATCCCAGGATGGGTCACACCGAGAGCGTCAGCGTCCTTGTTGCCGCGGGCGCGGAGCAGCCCCGAGGCACCTCAGCCCTCGAGGCCTGGGATGCATCACCGAGCCGGTCCTAGGGGCTCAGGATGCTTCAGGTTCGGGCTGTAGGGGCAAGCACATACTTCAAAGGGTTTGTGTTTTTGCCGAGTTCGTTTGTTTGGGATCTTGTGCGATGCGTGACGGACTCTGAAACTAGTTGAGCAGCAGTAACCTGCTATAGCCCCGAACCTTGACCCGAAAACCCGAAACAGTATTCGGAGGTTCTTCTGGCTTCGTGATAGTGATATGTAGGGTCTTCTTGCGGTTTACGGGGCATGTTAGCTGGACTAGTGAAGTCAATCGAGCGTCCAAGTATTGCGTAGAGGCTAGGGGACGCATGCCGGAGTTGCTGATTTTTTTGAATTAAGAGAACACGCTCCGAACCCCAATAACGCGTCACAAAGCGGCTATGCAGGTATAGACCTAACCAGGCGGTTTTGACTTAACCAGTAAGGTGAAGTTTCATGGAGTTTGTTCGGGTGTAAGAGAGCCTATCGCAGTTTACTTGGGTTGTGTAGAGTGTAGAGACCCCAGTGAAGTGGGCAGAACTATCTAAGCATCCGTCTTAATCCGTAGGATCCTCAAATCGGATCGTTGCTGCGGCCTTGGTGCCATGATCCCAGCGCGTGGGCAGACCCTGAGAAACGGACGTGGAATTTACAACGCCTCCAGCAAGTGCCAACAAGGCCCGATCAGGCATGAACAAACAGCCCCGAACCAAAACCTAAACGCTTAAAGCCGAACTACCAGATCCTGAACCGTTATAACCTAAACCTCAAATCCCAGATCCTGGCGAACTCAGTCAGACAAGCAATGCTGCAGACGGAGCACGCTAACGCCATAAACCCAAAGTTCGGGACCTACGAAGCCATGCGTGCCCGTGCGCAAGTGCGTGAGTCGCAACCCCAAACGTTTACTGCAACAGCCTAAACGAAGCCGTGTCGAAAGCAGTCCGGCGGTGAGTGGCCAAAGCCACTGGCCTTGCGCGCCCAGGTCTCTTGGGCTGGCTTAAGGTGTCGGATTTGACGTTTAGGGTCCAGGGGTTTAGATCCAAAAGCCCCAGTCCCCTAAAAAATGACCTTAGCTTAGCGATCGTAGAATTGTCTCCTCTTGTCATGTTCTTCTTCTTGACCATCGTGCAAGAAACGGATGCCATGGGGCGGACAGGTGTGGATTTCGTTCGGCAGTCCGCCGTCCTGACCTGTAGGTCACGGTAGTAATAGCGTCCTTTGGTATTGCCGAGTTCCAGATTCGCGGCTGGGGTGGTTTCGGGACATCTTACCGGGGTTCCCTTTTGTGGAGTTTTTGGTTTAGGGGCTCCAGGTTTTTGGGTGTGTTAGGGCAGGGATGCGGATCCTTGGACCCGGTTCCTAGTATTCGAGCACGGGACCCGAACTTAGACTCAGAAATAGCCCAAAGCCAGCCCTAGATTCTACCTGGTCCTACCTGCCAACTGTTGATGAGCCGTAAAAACTCTAGCAGTCCCAGAACTTACACTCCGAAACCTCTCGACCCATAACAAACGCCTACGCGCTCAGACCCGACACCCCCATACACGAAGACTTCTCTAAACCATGTTAATCTCGAAGCAGGTTGTGGAGACTGCTTCCCGGGTCTCTGCACCGAGTCATCCTGTTTTTCCTTCGCGCCGGTCTTGGGCGAGTTGGCTTTGGGGCTCCTGCTGGGAGTCTTGAAGGGCCGAAAGGTCCTCCTTCTGCGGTCCCACCAGGACAAGGGCTGAACCTCCGTTCCTTGAAATTGGGGGGGGGGGGGGGGGATCCTTCTATATTGTACTATTCAGCTTATGCCGGGAGTTACGATGGACCCCCCCTCCGCGGGCTTGCACTTCTAGCGGGTTTAGGCCCGTGGGACTGCAGGAGATTAGAGCTCTTGCAGTTTGCATTGTCAAACAGCTATCGAGCGCCGCTCATGACATTGGTCTTCGCGACCCGTTCAAGTCTTACCGAATACCCTCAGAAGCTCTGAAACATTAACAGGCTCGACATCTTAGACCACTCAAGCCTTGCAAGCTAAAAGTTCAAGTTCGCCAAGACAGATTCAACTGGCCTAGAGCTTAAGCGGCCTAAGCAACTAAGACTCACACGGCCCGGGAGTCAACCTAAAGGTGCCACCTGTCCCTAGACTCCAAGTCCCGAACTGAGCGTTTCTCGAGCCTTTCTGACCGTTCCTGTGAGCTGTGGCCTTGACAGCCTAAGTCGTGCGCGGACAAAAACAGAAGTATCTAGGAGGAGTTAGGATAATGGTTTGACCGTAGGGTTCCGGTGAGGACATCTACCAGAAAACTGGAACATCTCTATCCTCATACTCAGATGGGAGACAAGGGAATCCCAGCAAGAAGCGTGTTGTTAGTCCATGTTCCAACTTTCTAGTGTTCATGGTAGCAGCGCAAGGCCTTAGCTTAATCATGAAGCTCCCCACAGAGTAGTATTGCAAGTGTGATAGTGTGATAGGGTTTTGGGTTTTGCGTCCACACACAAATTTGAAGTCTGCTTTTCTCCAGTGGATGCGAAGTTGATAGGCCGGAGAAGCCTAGGGCCTGGCGCAGCCCAAGTCTCATAGCCCTCATAGCCCATAGCCCGAGAGCCCAGGCCGCACCGAAGTCAGCACGCGTTGTAGACTTCTCCAAAGTGTCGAAGAACCCTCAGCACCGGCCGATTCCCAAACCTTTATGTCAATGTGTATTCGGTATTCGTGCACACACACACACACACGTATCTGCATAATCATAAGTTACATCATATACGTGTCATGTGAAACTCGAGTCCCAAGACGAGGTGGGCTTATGATTGTGGACCCATACAAGGACTGTCCTTACCATGGCACACCCAAGCCCCAAACACTCATGCCTCTACATCAAAGGCTGTAGTGACGGCTATAGCTTCCCTACTTCTCAACAATTCCGGATTAGGGTTCACGAAAGTTTTTGGGCACGAGCATTCCGGAGGGAAGTCGCTCTTCGGCGTTTGTCCAGTAGCCATGGTCTAACGTTTTGTGCGTTCAAGGCACGACAAGAGAAGTTTAAGACTTTGGTGGGGTGGAAACTGAATGCCTCTTCAGGTTTCACGAAAGGCCTGCTCGAAACATAATGTGTTACACGCATCGCATTGACCTGTTCCTTATAAAGCCTCGTAAGGTGGCAAGGTGCCCTAGAAGGCCTTCATGAATATCGAAAAGCATACACACCTGAGAGCCTGGGACCAGGTCACCCATCGCCAAGAAGTCGCCACGAAAGCGCCACGTCAAAGGCCTGACGGTCCTTCTCGTCCGAGGGGTGGAAGAGGCTGTTATGTTATATAGGCCATAACGATTAGTTTTGGCAGGATTTGGTGGGGTTTTGTGAGCACATATGGGTAGTTCTGAATGCGGTTTCCGTGACGCCCCGATATAGTGGGTTGCTGGAACCAAGGAACGGCAGCCCACTGCGCAGGAAACCGGACTGGTGCAAGTTGAATGCGCTTTCTACGCTGAGGGCTTCGGGCGCTATTTCTGAATTCTGAGCGTCTATGTACCACGTGTTGCTTGCAACAGTAGGTACCTTCAGCCTTCAGCAGAGCTTGAGTTGCTGTGCTGATAGCCTACACTTTGAGACCCCTAATTAAACCCTAAAGCCTGAAGCAGGCATATTTTTCAAAAATCCCAATGCCAGAGGCCGCTCAAGGTGTACACAGCCGCTATGCAGTTCTGATGAAGCAAGCCCCTGTAGACTTCGCACCAAGACATTCATAGAAAGTCCTTTCGAAAAACCCAACAAGCACTTCCAGAAACCTGCGCAACCCAAAACCCGACATCCCAAAGTCAAAGTCTTCTCAGATTTCCGGGCATATCTGGAGCGGCTGTTTGGGGGCCCGGGCGGCGCGGGCCGTGCCTGGCGCACGGCTCTGGACGTCAAGGCGACTGTGGTTTGTTAGGCTTTAGAGCCGTGAACGTCTCTCGGGTTGGGCCTGAGTTTTGAGGGTGTAGGGCTTTAGGCTTGGGGTGCACGGCTTGGGGTCCAAGTCCAAGTCAATGGTTTCGGGCTCAGTCTTCAGGGGCTGGTTTTATCGATACCTTAGTCATTGGGTTAACGTGGGCCCTTCCGAAGAGTTTCTCACTGGAATGTGAGGGTTCTCATAAATAAAGCAACATCCCGATGAAGATTTGAAGCCTCAGCCTTTAAACACCCCTCAAGTCCTAAACGCTCGAAGCCAATCATCCCCACGAAGCCTCAGCCGTCAAACTACAAGACTCTCTAGAAGCCTTCTTTTGGGATTCGGGTTTCGAGGACAGGGTTTAGGATTTCGGGGTTCCGGGTTTACATGAATTAGCGCTTGGGGTTTAGAGCTTACGATTGAGGGTTTGGGGTCCAGAAAACCCAGTAGTTGAGTTCTACAGTATTTTACAGTTGCAGGGCCCGAATACAGCTGAGAAAACCCGCCCTCCCGAAAAATCAGGTTCTTCGTTGATGTTCAGAACCCCAAAAGACCCGTTTCGGGACGCCATGCTGGATGTGAGGCATAACTCGGTTGACATCAGATCAGAGAGACAAAGAAAGAGAGAGAGAGAGAGAGAGAGATAGAGAGAGACTCTTCTCTGTGGAATCGCTGCAAAGTTTCGTCCCTGTCACAACCTCGCTAGCGGCAGAGATGCAGATCCTTTAGCAGCTACTTTAGCACCCGAGCATCGGTTCAGCGTTCGTGTCGGCTAGTTTCACTTAGAGTCTCGCGGGATGCTGAGGCCACAGAGGGCATGAGTGACAGAACACTGTTGTCCTCAATGTTTGTCCTCCCTCGTTCAGTTCCAACCCTCTAAAACTCCCCAGAGCGCCCCTCCGCGGTTGGGGGGCTTTGATCGGACCCTTATGCCCTAGAGAGAGAGCGAGAGAGAAAGAGAGAGAGAGAGAGAAAAAGAGAGAGAGAGAGAGAGAGAAAGAGAGAGTGAGAGAGAGAGAGAGAGAGTGAGAGAGAGAGAGAGAGAGAGAGAGCGAGAGATAGAGAGAGAGAGAGGCCTAAGGCCTAACAAAAGCAACGAGAGAGACAGGGAGGGAAGGGGAGACAGATAAAGTTACCATTGCCCAGTCATACATAGTACGCCAGAAGCTACCCTTGCCGCCGTTTCTGTCATGAGGCCCCTTAGCTAGAGCCCAGTCATGTATATAGGAGCCAGATTGACAAACAAAACACCGCGGAGTGCCAGGAAATTGGGAACCAAACCCCGTTTCGAAGCACAACACCCGCTGAAACTGAGGCCCCCAAACATCGGTCGCAGAAATGCCGAAATACTTTCAAAGGACCCACTCAGACTCATTCAGAACCCTGTAGCCGAATGCAGCCCACAACCATTGAAACCCTACAACCCTCAAAGCCTGTATTGCTCAAGCCCAGAAAGCCCTCAACACTGAAAACTGCGAAAAGCTAAAGGAAGAGGCGACGATCTTTGTTTCCTGTAAAGGACAGACAGCCCCAAAGATCTCCGAATTTGAAGGGCACCGGCGCCGTGAGTGTGGGAGATTTCGGCAGCGGCTGCAGAGCCGTTGGTAAAAGTCCCAGAGCTTTCTGAGAATTCAGGAGTTCAGGGTTGGAGTTCAAGGATTTTGGTGTTTGGGGTTTGGGGTCAGGAGTTTGGTCTAATCTCCGGCATCAGAAACCTGTTTGGAGGGTCGCAGGACCCATGTAGGTCAGCAAGCGTGCTCAGTATCCCGTACAACCCGTCCGAACAGACCCGCTGATTCTACACAGCAGTTTCTTGTTGGTGCGCAGCGCTCGTCGACAACTCAAGAAGCTGAACACAATGGTGGTAAAAAGTCTTAACCCCAAAGTTTCCGAGGCTGGAAGCATGACCACACCGAGATGTGGAAGCTTCTGAAGGCCGCAGGCCGCCACAGCTTCACCGGAACGCGTGGCGCCAGCTGAGCTACCAGTCGTAAGTATGCAAAAGAGTACACTTCATGTTTCTGTCTTGAGCTAGGCAGACCTTCAAGTCCGGACAAGCGAAACTTCCCACAGTCTGGAATATGAAAGTACGACAGAAGCAGTCGACGAGTGTTATCTGTGTTGTACGGGACGCCACCCGTCAACATACTAAAAGTCCTCTCAACATGCCAAGAAGTGTTTGAGACGCCTACCGTGGACATGCAAAAGAAGGCTGAGACGCTTACCGTGGACATGCCAGAAACGGTAATCCGCCAACATGCAAAAACTGTGTCCCTCCAAATTGCCCTGACCACCCCCCTGCCCTGGCCCCCCCTGGCCTGGCCCCCCTCGCCTGGCCCCCCTGGCCTGGCCCCCCTGCCGGCCCCCTGCCCTGGCCCACCTGGCCCACCTCCTTGGCCCGTCCTGCTCAAAAAGTCTTTTCTGGCTAAAGTAGTAGTACAGCAGTAGTACANNGCCTCCACGTCCCGTTCCGGGCGGGGGAAATTGAAAGTGAAAAATTGTAAATTGACCCGTCAACGTGTCAGAAAGGGCCGCCGCCATGGCAAAGGCCCGAGCTAGTAGTACAGCAGTAGGGCAGTAGTAGTACAGCAGTACAGGAGTAGTACAGTAGCAGTACGGTAGAAGTACAGCAGTACAGCTTTAGTACAGCCAGCATTAGTACAACTTTAGTACTGGAAATGCCTCCACGTCCCGTCCCGGGCGCGGAAAAATTGAAAGTGAAAAATTGTAAATTGACCCGTCAACGTGTCAGAAAGGGCCCGTCAACATGCAAAAAGAGGCCGCCGCCATGGAAAAGGCACGAGCTAGTAGTACCCTAG